CATTCTTCCCCTCCTATCTTCTTCTTCTTTTTTTTTTTCTTAACATATATTGCATTATTTGTTTCAGAGGTATAGATCTGAGATTCAACAGTCTTGCACAATTCACAGCGCTTACCAGAGCACATACCCTCCCCAGTGTCTATCACCCAGTCAGTAGATAAGGATATTGAGGAAAAGAGGTCAAATTGTCTTCCTGAGGTCATATAGTGACTATGTGGCAGAAATAGAACCTGAATGTAGCTCTTTCATCCACTGCCAACATTCTAAATTACAAAAATAAATAATGCAACCTAAAATAATGACCTGGTACAGACAAATAAGTGAATAAATCAGAATATTAGAGCAAATCAAAATTAGCATAAATTATTCAGATAGTTAAATCATTCATTTTGACCTTTTATTGACTTTAGACTTTACATGATATGCTTTAAAACCAACTATATGGTTTTAAATATTTCTACTTTATCTCTTTCATAACTGTACAAGTTATATTTCAGAGTCATGAGAGACGATAAAGTTTTCAGAACAAAATAAAGACAAGTATCAATGGGAGCATCCAAATCAGATTGTTTCTAGAAATAATGGACAGAATTCTATCAATAATATAAAGTAGCTAACTTTATTTTTAGTACCTACTATCAACAAAATAACACTATTTCAATCACTCATTGAAGAAATTAAAACATCCAGAGGTCTACTAAGTAGCCTTACAACCGTAGCTAATAAGTAGTGAAGCTGGAATTTGAACACAGAGTGAGTTACCATTCTTTAGTATCCTTGGAAATAACTAAGTCATGAAATCTGTTTTAGCTTTATCGTAAATAATAATCATTGTGGAAAACCCATTTTACCCAGTGCCCCAACGAAAGTGATAAGACTGCCAATCGTTTGTTGAATAAAAACATAGTGATTCTGATCAAGATTAATCAGGTGAATATCTTAAAAAGATAGTCTATTATTGTAAGTCAAAGTACTATTATTATCTATATAAAGTGAACATTCCAGTATTTGTAGTTGTACTAAATATAAGCTACTTGATGACAGAGGCTGTGCTTTGTTTACTCCTCGATCTCCAACACTTGGGAAAATGTATATAGTAGGTACTCAATAGCAACTATTAAATAAAGAATAAAGAATAAATAAGCAAAAGAATTTCCAAAATAGTACCGAAGACTTAAAGGAAATAAGTCCAGACAATGTAGTAAGCATAAAATATCTAGGAAGCACAAATTGTGAGCATCCATTTTGTGGTAATAACTTTTATAAACAAAATAAATATAATTCTGTTCCTGTAGGTGACCTTTTATACTTATGCCTATTATCCATTTCAACTTTGTTTCACTTTTTTATCTAAAGATAGTTGTCTTAAATAATTAAATTCTCCTACTGTGGTTTAATTTTAGCATCTGAAGAAAAAATCTGCATGATTCAATTTAATGTTTATTGATAAGTGATAAAGAAAAGTGATATCATATGTACATCAAATATTTTACATAGACCAATGACACTTTAAAAAGATCTATTCTTTACTTTTATCTCTTCTCACCAGACCATCATTCATATAGGAAAATGCACTGTGCCTTGCCTTCACCAGTTGTGATGTGTTTAGTTAAAAGTGATAACCTGGAAAGGGATAATCAGACCTGAGGTCAAATGGTAATTCTGCTGCTTACTAATTAGTCTGACTTTATAAAGCTTTCATTTCTCATTTTCACTTATCTGCCAAACTGTGATAACTTTGGAAGTGTTCTTTTGATAATTAAATGAAATATGATTAGTAGAGCATCTGACATAGACAAAGAACCCCAAAAATGTACCCCTTCGTTTCCTAACTCTCCTTCTTTTATATAAGAACTCATCTTAGGCCTATGGGTGAAAAAGCTAATCAGGATGAAGGGTAAATTATAAATTCAAGGAAAGGGAACATTTTTTTTTCTGGAGGACCATTATTGTCTAGAACAGACAGCAATCAACAATTTTGGTTTCATCATCAACACACTGTTGTAAAATAATATATTGGATTCCCAAAACAGCAAAGGCAAATTTTCATAGAAAAGGAAGTTCTTTTTACAGTAATAAAAGGTTTTCCATAATCATATAATAGCCAAAATTTGTAATTAAACATCATTATACTCATTATCTAATTTGATCTCAGAAAGTCTTGGGAAATAGACTTGACATTTTTTTTTCCATTAGCCAGATAAGAAAACAGAGAATCAAAGAGGTAATTGCTTAACTATTGTTGATGGCAGATTGTATGTATGTATTAATGTTATATTTTATCATTATTATTATTATTATCATTATATGGTAGTTTTTTAGCTGTGTGATCTCCCCGTATGCTCCAGGACTCCTCACTATGAGAAGGGGAATTGGGTGAGGCCAAGACTCAAACTTAGATTCTCTCTGTGTATATAATTCTTTCCACCATAAACATCATTCTAATGAGTTGTATCAAAATATAGTTTTAGGCAGATAAGAGACAGTACAAAACTGGATTAGTGTTTTGACTGAAAAAAAAATTAAGTTTTGAGAACAAGCTTCTTGAACCAATCTGAGGCACTCAGTTTTTACAGAAGTACTTTCAGTTAATATGGCAGAAAAAAAAAGATAGTGGGTTGTTAATTAAGCCCGAATTTTTCTTGATTCTGTCACTAGATAGGAGAGCTTCGAAAAATGAGTTGACTTATCTGGCCCTTTATAAATGAGGATATTAGAGGAGGTAATGTCTGTAAAATGAACATATTACACTAGATAGATACATTTTTTTCTTAACTCCATGCTACCATAACACACACACACACACACACACACACACACACACACCCCCTTATACTTTTTGATTATAAGAACTCGTTACTTTGAAGAGGGAATGGTTTGACTAATTGAAAGTTGTGAGGGGCATTTGCAAATCATATTTATTTACTAATGAATCACAAAACACTTTCCTAGTTAAAATCTGCTTTCTCTTAGGACACTTCTGAAAACTTCTTGTTCTATTTGGTATGCCAGGAAAGAGAGATTGTTAATAATAATCATGCTTTGAGTAAAAACATCAACTCCCAGTAGTATTTAAAGAGGTTTAGCAGATCTAAGATAATGTGAATAGTTTCTGAGAAGCATGCCTGAGCATCTGAATTTTTTTAATGCATCCTCTTTATTATTATTATTATTCGGTGTATTCATTCTATAGAGAACTGACCCTTAGAGTACCCTAAAGTACCACTGAGTGTTCAGTCATCCAGGAGAAAATTACTATTTTAAAATACAATTTTCAATGGTCCTTTCCTTATTTTCCTTATCTTTCTTAAGCACAAAAACTTTTGTGAAATATAAGTGCAATGTGCTTTAAAGATCATTAGTAATATTCTAATCAATTACCAAATCGTCCTTAAGCTATGGGCTTTGAGGCAAAATTATAGGTTTGCATGGCGTCCCTATGCTAAAAAATTTTTAATTAATAAGGCTTGATTTAAATACAAATTGTACAAACTTATTATTCATGAGCTTGCAACACAGACACATATTCTATAAAGACAAGGAAAAATAGTCACTGCATTATCCAGTGTCTTCACTTTATATCATACTTCATGTTATATACTGACACACCTAATTCATGAACTCTTTGGAAGATAGGACCTATATTAAGACACTTGTAATGTTTTGACAATATCATTTTAATTCAGAGTATTTCTCTTTGTAAATATTTTATGAAATCATTAAGGCATAAACTACACTTTTTAAATTTGGGCTTGAGTTAGTCATTTTTCCTTACAGTTATTTATGAGTCATTTAGCATGTCCTTGTTAAATAAAAGACAAAGGCTAAAAGGAAAAACTACTACAAAGCACAAAACACACCAAGAAAATGCATGATTTCTTCCTTGGAAATATATATGTTATTTTCTCTAAGATTATTCCAATTGAGCAGAAGACCTCATTACTTGAATCAATTCTCTCCAAAGGATGCCATGCTAAATCCTGTTTTAATATAATTGTGAAAAGTACAGTTCAAATCAAGCAACTTACATAAGTCACACCTGAATAATAGACAAAATCACTTAAGGATAGATCAGAAAAACAGCCACTGATGGCTGTTCACAGTGAAATTATAAGATGAATAAGAAATTGTGAAGGGCTATGGTAAATATTATCTGGTTCTTGTATAAAGAATGTAAAACAAATATGTATGATTCTGTCATTCAAAAATTCAACGTGGAAGTGAATTTGCGACTCATTTCAAGACAATCATGGCATTACGGTGATAGAAGATGGTTCATCAACATGGACTTTTCCATCTTTATTATTTTTGATATTCACGTATCTAAAATTTATAATTGTTTGCACCTAGGAAATCATTTTAGTGTTGCCAATTCTACCATAAGGAATGGCATCAAAAATTTTAACTTTGTTTCACAAAAACATATTTAGGAAAACAATTATTGCTATCAATTAATTGCTATGTAAAGATATACATGTCGTAGTTAAGTTGTGAGATTAGAAAGAAATGTACTAATGAGATTAAACTATAGATTTAAATCCTACAGATGTTGGCCATTTTTCTTGATAATTCTAATTTAATGACTATAAACAAAATAAGCATCTTGATTCTGTTTCAAATTTTGTTCAAAATGAATAAATTTTCTAGCACACACAGAGAACACAAGACACTTTGATTAAATTTTACTTATTTTTTTCTTCTTTAGAATTTAAAATGATATGATGCTAGTCAAAAGATATGGTGGAATCAACATAAACATTTCTGCCACATAGATGTATCACAAGGATTACTTTGGCCTCTTATTTAAGAGGATTATAGGATAAATGATTTTCAGTTTACTCCAGTAAATTGGGATTAAGTTTTAGAAGGCTCCATTTGCGTACTGTATTAATCTCTTATCTTAGAAAATAGAAAGGCGAATGTTTCTGTAAAAGAAATTTGTAAGACCTTCTCATTTTATAGGAGCCCTAGTAATATTATTGTATCATGAAAGTACTTACTGTTCTGTTAGGAATTCTGGGCTATTTTGTTCTTTCAGATTCTTTTTCTCTAAAGGAAAACAACATAGGTACTGTTAGTTGACTGCATAGTTCAATATCATTTCAGAATGTCATAATTATAACTGATTAATTTTATTATGTAATATTTCTACTTAGAAATACAATAAAATGTCATGTAGGTTTAGCATATATAGTATATGATAGATAAACAGGGATTTTAAAGTTGGTTTGAAGGGCTAGAGATGAAGATTCTGTGAGTAGTTTATGCACTGATTTTTGTGAAAAGTTAATTATGCTTCCTTCTTGAAAAATGAAATAATATTAATCTAGGTAGACATTGTTAGAGAATATTACATTATTAAAAAAGAATCATATAATAATTAATTGCCTGGTGCTATATTTAGTATTGATATGATTATAGTTCACCCTTGAACAATGTGGGGGTGAAGGGCACCGACCCCCCTTTCAATCAGAAATCCTTGTATAACTTCTGACTCCCACCAAACATGACTACTAACAGCCTACTGTTGACAAGAAGCCTTCCTGATAACATAAACAGTCATTAACATATATTTTGTATATTATATCCTGCATTCTTAGAATAAAGTAAGCTAGAGAAAAGAAAATGTTAAGAAAATACATCGACAGTACAGTAGTGTGTGTGTATGTGTGTGTGTGTGTGTGTGTGTATCCACAGATTTAAGTGGACTTTGCAGTTCAAACCCATGTTGTTCAAGGGTCAAGTATATATATATATATATACATATATATATATCCCCCATCAGGGGTAAAGAGAAAAATAATCTCGTATCACTGCATTAAAAAAAAAAAAAGTACAACTTCTAGTTTAGGGAGTAAGAAAATGAAATCCTTCCCGAGTCAATATCAGGAATTGCTTTAGTGTAATAAAGATGTCAAGAATTTCTGATTTGATTTGACAAGTTAGCAACTCACAAATGAAAATTTCACAGTACTAGAGACAAGTACCTTTTTATATAAGTTCTCATCAGTTTTAGTCTTCAAAAAATTTAGGTAGAATGAAAACCAAGAAAGAATGAAATATTTAGAAACAGGTTCATAATAGGCATGTTACTCTGTTTTTAAGAGTTCTTACAGTGTCTAGGTTCAGCAGAACTACACAAATATTATAACGCTAGCAGCTCTGGCAGTTGGCTCATATAGGTACTTAGCGTGAAAGATCTGAAGTGACAGCTATATTTCCAAAACTGCATTTACCGCATCTGTTCAATGGTTAAGCCTCCGAGGTCTGCTTTCATTTTATTTCTGCTTGAAACTCAACTGTTTTCTAGTAAAAGCCATTAGAAAGAGCATTGTAAAAATGCATTTAGGTTTGCCTGGCTGACTCTTAAAATACGACTTTGAGCTACAATTAATTTTAGATAAGATTTCTATATATAGTTTCCGTGTACTGACACTTTTTTTATTAAAACAAAAACTACAACCAAATTCTACGAGTGCACATACTAAGGAATCAGAGTGACATAGAGCTCTTTACAAGAAACAATGGGGGTGAGGGCGCCTGCTGGAATAAATGAAGGTTTTCTACTAAAAAACTCAGAGAATATTTGACATTGTATGTATTGTACATTAAGACTTACAAGGCTTGGCTTCCCAAAGGGATACAGTGAAAGGATTAAACAATTTTTGTGACTTACGAGTCATCTGCAGGGATTTGATTTCATTTTGGTTTTGCACGCACATCTATCACAAGGATGAATGGACAAGCCTGTTCTACTGTAAGGGACAAACAGCTATTTTACTTTCAATCTATGCACTGAATATGGATGTGCATCGTATTTTTCTGGTAGCTAATTTCTCTCTCTTGCATGTATAAACATCTCTATTTTAGAAGAAAAAAGTGAAAATAGCACAGGATGATTTTGCACTTTCCGCCAACTATCTGGCTTTTCAATAACGTAATTGGTATCAGTAGGTCTGATTCAGACAGTTTCCTGGTATTGAGACTTGGTACTTTCATGTGTTTATATGATACTTCAAAAAATGTGAATCTTTTTAGGTAGATTTATGTATTTTTCACAAAACAGTATGAGCATTCATACTCAATAAATCTGATGACACTTTCACGTTTTTTAATGCAGTTTTAGAAGCAGGCCTGACATGGAGAATAAAGAAAATAACTGAGACTTAGGGATTACTTTTGCTTGACGACAGCTAGAAATTAAACTGCTGTACCTTGCGGCCCTAATCATAATTCTATTTACAGAATTAAGCAAAACACTGTATGCTTTCGGCATAAATATTGCAAATCGTTGACTTGTTTTGTGGGAGGAGGGCACTTTTGTATTCATTTTAATGATGAATATTTTAAAATGCACAGCTGTGTTTTTTGCAAAAGGACCGTTTCAAGGATGACAAATAGCTAATGTTAATATCCAAACTTTGTTTAAAATATCTCAAATATTTCATTTTGATGAAAATATTGGTTTTAATGGAACTTTTACTAACATATCACTAACCTAAATATTTATTTAGGGTTGGATTTAAAGTATGCACTGTGAACCCTTGCAACATGGCTGTTTGTAAACATTATTCCTTTGCCCCAGGTCAACTGGGATGGCATCAAAATCCTTATCCCATGTTTTAAATCTCAAAACTGCAAATTATGGATAAACTCAGAGTTCTTTTTCTTGGGCTTCTTCCTACTGAAATGCCAAAACCTGTGGCTAGAACATAGTTAAAAAGTTGATGTGTCATTTCCTCAACACAGATATCATTAATCCTAAGGGATTTTGTTAGACATCTTTTGGCTTAAATTATTATTCTTGGAAGAGCAGTCAGCAAGCAGAGATTACTTTAAAAAGAAACACTATCCAGGGCATTAGTGACTGAGTGTAAGATTTTAAACACTAAAATAAAGCATTGCATGACACTTAAATGTATCACATGACTCTTAATTTTTTTTTTTTAAGATTTTATTTATTTATTTGAGAGAGAGAGAATGAGAGACAGAGAGCATGAGAGGGGGGAGGGTCAGAGGGAGAAGCAGACTCCCCGCCGAGCAGGGAGCCCGATGCAGGACTCGATCCCGGGACTCCAGGATCATGACCTGAGCCGAAGGCAGTCGCTTAACCAACTGAGCCACCCAGGCGCCCTATCACGTGATTCTATATTAGATCCCGGACAAATCGACAAAAACGATTAGCTATAAAGAACAATATTGTGACCGTAGATGAACTTTGACAATGGGCTATGAATTAGACAATGGTTTTACATCAGTGGTATATTGTCTGTGCTTGATAACTGTTCTGTGTAAAAAAAAAAAATGTCCTGTTCTTAGGAATTATACTGAAATATACACTAAAATACTTGAGATAAGGCACACCAGGTCTCCAACTAATCCTAAATGGTTAGGAAAAATATATGAACTGTGTATATATATACACAAATATAATAGTATAGATATAATATATATAATATATATAATAATATAGACAGAGAAAATGACACAGAACAAAATCTTAACAGTTGGTTTACCTAGGTAAAGGACATATGAGAACTTCTATCCTTGCAACTTTTTTTGAGAGTTTTCATGAAAGAGTTCATTATCAATAAAGAGCTTATAAAACTACTCTTAAAAAATAAAAATAAAGTGCCATTTTTCAGTATCTTTACAAAATATTTCACTGAACTGTGGCTATTTTATTTTGTTCATTACGCACAAGATCATTTCATTCTACATGTAACTGTAAAAGATAGTGATATTTATCTGGAAAATGGAGAGCATTAGGCAATAAAAGAAAGGTAATGCATCAATTAGTAGAGTAAACAAATGTTCTATAAATAAATGCAGTCACTATTGGTACCTATGGTGCTGCTGGTAGGAATGGTAGGAAGTCAATAACACAGAATATGGACTTTTCTTGAAGGGTAGAAGGACAAAATATTTTGCCCTATATTGAGGACAAAGGAATGTTTCTATTTTTTCTTTTTTGTGTCTAACCATTGACATCCATTTAGGAGGTTTAATTTTACAAGCCTGTCCTCATTATGATAGAAGCAAATGTTTACCAACACAGATTGCAAAAGGTGGACAGGGATAAAGGGTCTACTCATTTTTCTGTTGTGATACTTTATTACACAAGTCGAAACATGTGAAAACATTTGTTGGCAGTCAGTTACAATAATGACATATTGGGTTCAACCATGTTTAACATTTTCATTATATTCAAAATAATTATTTGAGAATGGGGGGCCGATAATGAGGCAGAATGGCTCTAAGTCAGGAGAGCCAGTTCATATCTTGAAAAGGAGGATGGGAATTAATTAAATGAGAAGCTTGGGGAAGTTAATTGGGAATGAGTAAAGATAAGGACACCATCAAAGCATGAAGAAATAAAACTATTAAAAGGAATAGCAGAAACTCACAGCACACCTAAGGGAGAATGAATCCTGTTGAATCGAGAGTGTAGGGGAGCAGAATTATGCCTTTGGGGGCCCCTATTGGCTTCCAACCCCTAGAATACTGCCTGCCACATGAATAAATGTTTGCTGAATGAATAATTATATATTGACAAAAGCAAAATTTAGTGTATTGTATTCCTAGTCTGCTTCTGCCTCTAATGTGTGACTTTAGACAAATCACTTAATCTAATTCTATCAGCTGTGAAATGAGACAGCGGGAAAAGGTGATTCTCCAAGGTGCCTTCCAGATCTAAATATTTCTGTATATGGTTCTGTTTATTAAAATGGGCAACTGTGAACATTTTCGTAGAAGAGAATAGCCTTATATGAGTTTTAAATGAAGAGAAATGGGGAGAAATAGAGAAGAGGAATGAAAGAGCAATGCATTGATTCAAGTAATGGAAAATAAATCCCATTGAAAGCGACTTTAATATAGAAGAGAGAATGCAGGTGATTTATGGTTTTGATGTTAGAAGTGACATTTATGTGTACTATTTTTTTTTAAAGATTTTATTTATTTACGTGAGAGAGAGAGAGAATGAGAGACAGAGAGCACAAGAGGGAAGAGGGCAGAGGGAGAAGCAGACCCCCTGCTGAGCAGGGAGC